CCATCTCATTGTTGCCCTGCCCGACCTCGTATGCTACCACTCTCTTCCCTCAGCTGCTCTTCTGCGATGAGTTCGTGCTCATCGTCTCGAAAATTGCAAACATCTCCTCAGCTGTCTTTGCTCCAATATCTCCTCCTGCCGCATTGTCAACCATATACTGCAAGTTCCGATGGAGGGAGTCGTAGAAGCAGTTGATCAGTAGAGAGAGGTTGTGATGAGGACACTGCCGCTGGAGGTCCTCGAACCGCTCCCAAGCCTCGTGAAGAGGCTCGTTCGGTAGTTGAGCAAATGAGACGATCTGCGACCGGAGCTCCTGGGTCTTCTGATGGGAGTAGTATCTCCCAATGAACTTCGTGTATAATTCAGTCCAGGTAGTGAGAGAGTCCGGTGCGAGGGTCATGAACCAGGACTTGGCCCGGTCCTTCAGTGTCTCGGGAAAACACCTCATCTTCAGTTTCTCTTCTGTAAGCCCGTGGAGAGGGAAGGTCTGTAGCACATTATAAAATTCCCGAATGAAGTTAAGAGGGTCTTCATTCGGGAGCCCGTGGAAGGATGGCAGCTGGTTGTAATGGATCATCTTTAGCTCGTAGTTCCGAGCTTCTTGTGGCAACCGAATGCATGAGGTTATCGGCCCAATCGTCGGATGAGCTAGGTCTCGAAGGGTGTTACGAGGCGGTTGTTGCTGTTGTTCATCCATGACGACGTTACTGCCTTCTGACGATTTCGGGGAGTGTTCGTTTCCTTCGTTAGACTCGAGAGTCAGCTCCTTCAGCAGTTCCCTCAGGCTCTCGTTGACTGATTTGTTGATCGGAGATAGCAATTTGCGTCCACTCCTGGTACGCATACACTAAGACCAACAAGGGTTACGAGCACCAATGATAAAAACAAAATAAAACACGAATTAACACCTAACAAATAAAAAGAAATCAAGAGAAACACGGAAACAAGGAAAATCACAAGAAATAAGAGAAACACTAAAAACAAGATGAATAGGCGCACAATTATAATCCTAAACCCTCCCCGGCAACGACGCCAATTTTGCTGTAATAATTTTAACCGGAGTAGAATCGAAAGATTCGTTCCCCGGGTCGTATCGCAAGGAAGGTTAGCCGGATATAATTGTTCGATTATTCAATCACAAAAGAAAATAAAAATCCTAAACACTCTAATTCAATGATTTGGGTTTCAATTATCAACTACCAACTTTAAATTAAATAAAGCACGAAATGAACAGTAACGAATTAACTGAGAATTTAAAGAGCTAGGGAATCGGGGACAACTGTTTTCGGTTCTTACACAACTACCGGCAATCAATTGCTCGGTTAAAGGAAGTGAATCGTCTCTCGTTTAGAGGTTCACTCTCAATAACTCTTCGTAACAAGAGAGTGAACATATACGATTGACTATCAAATCCAGCAATTCATAGACAATACTTTGACGAACAAGTCAATTCTAAACGAGCCTAAATCGACCAATGTCTCCCCTTCCGGTTCTAAACAATGATTAGCTAGGTTATATAGGTGATCAATCTATTAACCCTAAATTGAACTCAACTCGCACAGATATGAACAATTAAGAACAAGCAATCATAATTGAACCTAATCAATTATCCCCTATCCCTAGCAGATGGATTTAGCTACTCATATTGGATTTGATCACACAAACATTCATAACCCAAGACATCATCATCAATGAAAGAATTGAAGAAAAATACTTACGATTAATGAAAATTCTGAACTCAATCCAATAGTATCCGAATCCAAAGCAAGATAATAGAGGTTTTTAATCTCCAAAATCGAATCCCAAGAGCAAAACAATTCAAAAGTGCGAAAGAAAGAAAAGGAATGGTTTTTTCTCCAGAGGGAACGTAAAAATAAAGTTGGGATCGTCAATCATAAACCTAGGATCAAAAACAGCATTAAAAATCCCGCTCCTCGAAGAACGCGCCGGTTAAGTCGCGACTCGCGACTTGAGTCGCGAGTCGCGAGATGGTCTTCTTCTCCATCGCGAGTCGCGCGTCGTCTTTTTCTTTAAATTCTGGGGTTTGGTCGCGACTACATCTCGCGAGTCGTGAGATTGGCTTGCGAGTCGCGACTCGTTCTTCAGAAATCCTCTATAGCCTCAGTTTTCCCCGCGAGTCGCGACACCTTAGCGAGTCGCGACTCATTCTGCGCATTGTTTCTGTTCGTTTTTCGGTCCTCTTCGTCGTTTTCTTGGCTCGGCCAATGGGAATTCTCGATATCACGGTCTCGGCTCAAGCAGTTCCATCTTTGACCGGCATAACCTACCTCCTGAAAACACAAATACAGAAAAACACGAAGCAAAACACGGCAAAAAGATACAAAAATATAAACTAAAGATAAAAACACAAAATGGACGAAATGGACCAAATAAACTACGAAAATCCTACCAATGGGGGAAAACAAAAAGAAAATAAACATGAAATAAAGACACAAAAATGGGACAAACACTACGGGGGTAAGCTTTTGGCTGCATGTGGGATTGATTCCAACAATATCATGTTTCCAATAGCTTGGGCAGTTGATGAAGCTGAAAAGAAAGATTATTGGCTTTGATTTTTTGTCTCTGTTGGGGTGATGATATTAGCATAAATGATCAATATCTATGGACCTTCATGAGTGATAAACAGAAGGAACTAATACTAGCTTTTGAGAGTATGTACCCAACGACGGAAAACAGATTTTTGTGTTCAACACCTTCACAACATGTAGTACTTTGTACAATAATAAAAAAGAAATATAAGCAATTTTAATGACCCGATTGTTTATTTCATAGAGATATTCATGAACATTCAGTATAAATGCCTAAAAGATCATACAATTATAAAGTTTAATTATATGTTTGGCCAGAATATTTCAAAGTGTTTGATAAAGTAGACATTTTGCCAAATGAATTAAGAAGAATTTTGCTATTGATGTAGGCTCCAATGAATATTTCTTATGAGAACGTCAAACCAAAATGAAATACAATCACTCTTTAATCATCTAACATTACTAAATAAAAGAACAAATGCATCTATAATATACTTTATGTCCTTATTTAGTGTCCTTATTTAGTTATTTTGTGTTTTTCATTAGAGACTCATTTTTCATATATTTTTGTTGGAGTTGTAATATGTTATTTTATCTTTTTTATTTAGGACATCATTATGTTATTTTGTAAAAATACAAAATACACTACGAGCTCATTTATTCTACATTTTTACTTCGTTCATGCAATGATATGTTTAATAAATTAATTAATTTATTTTACTAAACTTAATCGGCCAAAGACATTCACCACCACATGCATCACACGTTCACTTTATTAGTAAAAATAAAATAAAAGTAACAAAAACTAAATCTTAACCACACATCTAAACCGTACTTAATGGCTAAAATTTATCTTCACACTTTATTTTAAATCCTGAGCTACACTAGCTTCACGAGCAATCTTATTAATTAATCAAAAAACTATAATATATTATTAGTTTATTCGGGAATAATTCTTCATGTTGGTCAACTTTTTGACATCGAACTTCAACAATGTTGAATTTGATCAAATATGCGAATTAACAAATTGGCATCTCATATGGAATTTCTAGCTCTACCACTTAATTAACAAGATATATAGTGAAACGTAGGTATTTTGTAACGAGTGCGCTCAATTTGTAGTACGAACAAAACAAAAATTATAAAATGCGGAAGCAATAAATCGAAGATTTAAAAACTCTTCAGGGAAGCGTCCCACTTCCCCTCAGAGCTCTTTCATTGATAAACCGTTTGTGCACACTTGTATAGTTTGGACTTACACGACTCGAACTCCCTTCTAGCCTAGCCACAACTACACACGATTCTATCAACTACTTCTCCGACCACGTCCCGTGGATTTTACCTCTCGAATCCCTCGAGCTAAAGACAGTACTTAATCCCTAAGCACTGATCACACAAGTGTTTGAATGAAAAACAAAGAAAAGAAAACAAAACAGACTTCAGTTCTTCGATGACGTAAGAACACCGAAAAACTGACCAACGAAAATAAAACACAAAAAGCTTGCAGCTCGAATATGGAATAGAATATAATGCTCTCAGCTCTCCAAAATTCGTTCTTCAAGCAGGTATATATACAATCCCTAGGATGTGGAGTGTTCTCCAAGTATAGGACTCCTTTTGTTTTTGATTTCCTTCCAAGTTTATCCAAAGAGATATGGTAGGTGTAGATCTCTATCTTCTCTTTCCTTCTTATATGATTTCCTACAAAATATATCCATAATAAGATCATGTAAATCTAATATATATGTATATAAATCGAATATATAAATATAAATATAAATATATTCGAATATATAAATATAAATTAAATAAAAGAACTTCCCTTTTTATTTCTCATGCTTGCAAGAATATATCTTCACTTATATTAATTTTTGAACTTCATTGCCAAAAATATAACTCTTTCATATAGCAGTATCAAATAATTGAATTCTCGGATACCAATACTTAATAATTACAAAAGCTAACTGCTTGAGTTATTTTTTTAAACAGCATGCTTTTATATTCGTGCTTAATCCAAGAAATGCAATAAGTTCACATGAAAAAAAGTACTACTAGAATTTGTTTTCCATAGCTGTTGTAGTGTTGCTAGTGGGAACACACTCACCCTAGTACGAATCTTGGCCTTCCTATAAAGTATATTAGAGCTTTGTTTTTTTCTACCCCCATTGTTATTTCAAATCTTGTTCCTTATCAAGATTCAATTTTTATTTTTATTAATTTATAATATAAAGTATTCTTTTCTTTTATTTCTACCTTTCCTGTTGCTTTCTCATGAAAGGGCCTCTTGTACCTAAAAATTATACCAATTTATCTTTACTCAGTATATCTTAATGACTAAAAAATTTTTCTGTCTGTCCACCTCAGATTGCATTCATTGAATCTCACTTCAGTAATCATCAATACTCACCTTTCCATCCAAGATAAAAATCATTTTCTGCAGCTGAAAACATGTGGTTTTCTTGGCTCAATCAGCAGCAGCTGCTTTTGGGGGTAGCTCCCAGAGAAAAGAGGTTGAGAAAGTGTGATTTAACAAGGTATACTTGGCTTCCTCTCATGCTACAATTCTTGTGCTGTGCTTTTTCCGGGGTTTCTTGTGATGATTTTGCAATCCCTCTTGGTTCTGAGATTAATAATGCTTTTGATAGCGGTAAAAATCAAAACTGGGTTTCCAAAAATGGGGTTTTTTCTTTGGGGTTCTTGGTGATGGACGGTGGAGACGAATATGCTGTCGGTCTTAAGTACAATTTAGGGGACAAATCTGCAAATTTGCCTCTGTGGACGATTGGCGGTGGTCTTAGAATCTCTCAGAACTCCATATTAAGGCTAGGCATGGATGGGGAGCTTGTTTTAGTGGATAACCTAAGTAAAATCACTATGTGGAGTAGCGGCACCTCAAATTTGGGTGTCCAAAAAGCAAAAGTCTTGGACAACGGCAACTTCGTGCTTCTGGGCAGCAAAAATGAAGTGGTCTGGGAGAGTTTCGATAGCCCCACAAACACTCTTCTGCCGGGTCAATCCTTCCGCTACCCTCAAACCCTCCGCGCCCTCTCCTCAAAATCCATCTCGAGCTACTACAGTTTGGTGATTAGCAAGAGTGGCGAGCTCCGGCTCTTGTGGGAACACAACGTGACCTATTGGAGCAGCCAATTCAGCTCGAAAGAAGCGAGATTTGACTCAAACGGCGTTTTCGGATTGTACAATGCCGAAAATAAAGATGTTTGGTTAGCTACAGCCAAAGACTACGGAGATCCTTCGGTGAAACTGAGACACCTGAGAATCGATCGTGATGGGAACCTAAGGATTTACTCTTGGGATGGCATTGGCCGGGCCTGGAAGCCCGTTTGGCAAGCCGTTGAGGACCAATGCAGTGTGTTTGGCTCCTGCGGCTTGTACTCTGTGTGTGGGTACAACTCGACTGGCCCAGTTTGCGACTGTTTGAATCCCATCCCGTTAGGCGGAGCCGGGTGCTGGAAATTGGCCGATTTGGGCAATTGCAGATTGCACGCGAGTTTATTGACCTTGAACCAAACCGTGCTTTACGGGTTGTACCCGTCTCACGACGACGAGATTCTTTTGAGCGAGATGCGTTGTCGGGATTTCTGTTCCAGAGATTCGGCGTGTTTAGCTGCGACCTCGATGAACGACGGGTCGGGCCTCTGCAAGGTGAAGCGGACGAGCTTCGTGAGCGGCTATAAAGGCCCATCTGTCCGCGCCGTGTCTTTCCTCAAAGTATGCTCCATCCCGCAGGCCGTCGCCGCCGTGCGGGGCCTCGGCGGCGGGCCCGCGGCCACGGCCCGTGACCAAGTTTCAACAAAGGGAAGTGCGAAACGATTGATTTGGCCTGTCGTGTTTGTCGTTCTTGTCACGTTGCTCGTGGTCTCGAGCATTCAGATCGTAATCTTGACGGTACTCTACCGGAAAAGGAACGGTTTCGTTCGAAAAGGAAACCCGGAGGCGGCGCAGGCGAACGGGCTCTACAGCGTGCTCGTGCGAGTCTCGTTCGAAGAGGTTAAAGAGCTGACGAATGGCTTCGCGGATAAGATCGGGAGCTCGGTTTTTCGGGGAGCGCTTCCGAACGGGACGCCGATCGTGGCGAAGGTGTTGACGGACGTGGGCGTGTCAGAGAGGGAGTTCCGGGCCGCGGTGGCGACCCTGAGCGGGACCCACCACCGGAATCTCGCGTCAGTGAAGGGGTTTTGCTTCGAGGGGTCGAGTAAGAAGGCGTTGCTTATTCGGGAGTTTGTGTGCAACGAGTCGTTGGACAAGTGGGTCGGCGCGGAGGAGAATTGTGAGGGGGGACGGAATTGGGATCGAAAGGTCGAGATTGCCCTTGGCGTCGCGCGCGGGCTTGCCTATTTGCACTCGGAGTGCCAAAAGTGCATAACGCACGGCAATTTGAAGATGGAAAACGTGGTTTTCGACGAGAATATGGTACCCAAGCTGACGGATTTCGGCCTGCGAGATTTGTACTCGAGACAAGTGCAAGTGCAAGTGCAAGCGGCCTCGTCGTCTGAGTCTGCATCAGAACGGGATATTTACGCTTTGGGATTAATGTTCCTGCAGATCCTGACGTGCAAGAGAGAAGTGTACGGAGAGAATATGGAGAGCGTGGTGGAGAAATTGAAGCGGAAAAGGAAGTTTTTGGGTGGCGACGGTTTGGAGGCGATTGAGAGGATGGCGAGAATTTCGTTTTGGTGCATGCAGAGTCAGCCGTTTTTGAGGCCGTCTATAGGGGAGGTGGTTAAGGTGCTCGAGGGGACACTCTCGGTCGACCGTCCGCCCTCGTTTTTGGTGTGCAGGCGTGATGACGTGGAGGTCGACACGGAAATGTTAGAAGCCTGAGTGTTAGTGAGAAGCTGACACTTTCATATGCTCAATTTGAGATGGAAGACGGTTTGACATACTATAGGATGCTCTTCTAAGTCGACGTCTAACTCTAGTCTTGGTTGTACAACCAGCTTAATGTAAACGTACGCAAGTAGAAGATACAAATTACGTAGATTTATTAAGTCCTCAACGAGCAACAGTACTAACGCCTCTTTCGATTCTATGTCCATGGTTATTCTGATGATGTAAAGAAAAATACATACTTGGCCATGAATGAGTTAAGTTAGAAGACAACTATTTTTAATCTTTCCTACACTGTAAATTAAAAGGTCTACCAAAATGTGATAAAAATTGAAGTCAGGTTTACTGAACATTACTTATTTCTTTTCACCAAAGAACAGATCAGTCACATATAAATTTCCTTTAACAATTGTTGCTATGCGTATAGAAAAATGTACAAAATGTTATCCCTAAACGTCAGCCATTGAAAAAAAACAGAGAAATCGAAATATGCACTGAACATAATAACCAACAACACTTTAGTCACAACCGGAAAAACAAGTACGTCCTATATCAATTTTGCCATGAGAAGCAACCAAGTAACAACAAAAACATGAACAGAGCCTAGCCTCCAAGCAACTACAACATATATAGACTACCCATTTTTGAGAATCAGTTTGGAAAAAATAAAAAAATTTTAAATCAACAATGCTTGGTTAAATCAAAGCGTAAAAGGGGTTTTACTTTTACGGAGCCGGTAAAAAATTTAAAAATAAATTCTGCTAGGGTTAATCGCATACAACCAAAGTAGTGGCTTCAAGTTTCATGTACCTGTGACGGGAAGGATTACGATGTGAAATACTTCAGCCAAAGTAGTGGTTTCAAGTATCAAGCGCATTCCTCAATGTTACCGCTGACCAAAGATTGCAGATGTGGTTTAAGAACAACAATATCTGAAACGAGAGAAAAAGAAATGGCAAACCAAAAACTACATCATTCGTCATCGTTATTGTTAACTGTAGTAGCACAAACATACAGAGAGAAGTCGCCGGAACACTTCCAAAGACGACGATGCCTTATATAATGTGGCATTGTGTAATTATGGTCACTCGAGGTTAATTCAGTACCAAATGTTAAATATTAGGGACAAAAAAGACATTTACTTCTCTGTGAACTGTAGGGATCCAAAATATCACATGGCCGACATGAGATTATTTAATAGCCGAAAACCCTGACTAATGTCATTTAATCTGGGCTCTGCCTAATCCTACAGGCCGCAGTCTTGCAACGTAAACGCCAGAATAAGCCTGGACTAACAGCATAATTCTATCATATCTTCTATATCAAACACTCCCTTAGAATAATATAATAGTCATAGTTCAAACTTTTATTCCGTTTGCAGTGTTACTACCCGTTCGTCAAATGCCCGTTAGTCGTTAACGAGACTGTCTAACATCACAGTTAGGGTTAGATTTACCTCATTTTCTTCCCCAGTTACGCATCTCTCAGAAAATAAACCCTAATTTTCCATTTCATTCATGAAAAATGATGATCGATCCAACATGTTTGACGCCTAATTTTTAAATTTCCAACTCAATTCCTCTAATTGTTGTTCGATTTCTTCAATTTCCAGCACGTTTCCTCAAATTGCAGGCCGACTCTTGAAATCCTAACTCTGATTCCTCAAATTTCCAGCTTGTTTACTTCAATTGCCGCTCGTGTTCTTCAAGTCCCACTCGATTCTTCAAGTCCCACGCGATTATTCAACTTCTAGATCGATTCTATGGCAAAAAGAGATCGAGTAGATACGAAAGAAACTCTAAACTACGGTATCTTCTATGTTTTAGTTCAAACGGCTCGATTTTTCTTTAAATTGATTGAAAATAGGGTTTTAATTTTTTTTAAACCCAGATGAGGATACAATGTTCACTTTGAAAATTTTCCATGGAGGAGAGATGATTGAAAGTTTGTCAAGGTATTACAGAGGGGCGTTTGTAGATTATTTTGATGGTGTTGATGGGGACAAGTTGGGTCTTATTGAAATGAATGATTTTGCCAAACAATTAGGTTATGAGGAGAAATTAGGTTTTGGCATCAATATGGTCATTCATTGTATAAGGGAGCAAAATTCATGGTTAATGATTCTGATGTGCTCAATATTTTGAAGTTTATTCGTGCTGATAGAGAGGCTCTCATTTACATTGAACATTTAAACCATCCACAACCTATTGAGCCATCTAGTTTGCCTTCTAATTTGCATGAAGATGAAGAACCTGTACTTGATTTTTCCTTTCTTGATGACACTCACATAGCAACACCAGAAACAGAGGCCCACTCTGATCATAATGTAGAAGATAATAGTGATTGTCATAGTGACAGTGATGATAGTGATGTTTTGATTGATTCTGATTATGATATGATAGAGGATGATAAGTTGTATGAGAAATATGTTGATCATGATGTTGAGTTTGTTGGTTTAAGTAAGAGTTCTGACCCTCTGAATAACATTTTAGGAGATGAAGTTAGTAGTAGATTAGAAGGGGACACATTAGAACCAGTTAATAGTAGTGATGAGCTTGAGAGTTTGGTTGGTTCTGATGAAGATGACTTGTGCATGCCAAAATACCCTAAGTACAACCCTGCTACTGAGAGTAGAAAGCCAGTCCTTAAATTAGGATTGAATTTTAGTAGCAAGCAGAGGCAAAGTCTGCCATTGAGACTTACTGCTTTAGGGGTGGGAAGTCTATTTTCTTTGATAGGAATGATAGCAAAAGGCTTAGGGAAAGGTGCAAGACTGATGGTTGTGAATGGAAAGCATATGTTGCTCCAATGCAACATGGCAATACTTGGCAAGTTAAGGTGTTCAATGATGAACATAGTATCTGTGCTTGGAGCTATAATAATTCTTCAATAAAGTCATCTTGGGTGGGAAAATATTTTATGAAAGAAGTAAAAAAAAATCCTAAGATACAAATTACAGGCTTTAGGGAACATGTGTGTTCTAAATTGAAGGCAAACATCTCCAAACATCAGGCTTATAGGGCCAGAATTGCTGTCAGACAGCTTCTTGAGGATGATGTGAAAGAACAGTATAGTAAGTTGAGGGATTACTGTGCAGAGTTACTGAGGTCTAATCCTGGGTCAGCTGTGGTCCTAAAATTAATTGAAAATGAGGGTGTGGTCAATCAGTTTCTGAGGTTTTATGTGTGTTTTAAAGCTTGTAAGGAGGGTTTTAAAGCATGTAGAAAGGTGGTTGGGGTTTTGATGGGTGTTTTTTGAAGGGGTGCTATGGGGATCAGTTGTTGACTGCTTGTGGGATTGATCCCAACAACAACATGTTCCCCATAGCTTAGGCAGTTGTAGAAGCTGAGACCAAAGATTCTTGGCTTTGGTTTTTATCTCTATTGGGGGATGATATTGGCATAAGTTGTGCTGAGTTGTGGACCTTCATGAGTGATAAACAGAAGGGACTAATACCAGCTTTTGAGAGTTTGTTCCCAGAGGCAGAAAATAGATTTTGTATTCAACACCTTCACAACAACATGAAGAAGGATGGGTTTTTAGGTTTGGCAATAAAGAAGGAACTATGGGCTGCTGCTAGATGTACTAGGGTGGAAGAGTTCAAAGCCAGATGGAGAAGTTAAAGGCTATTGATCCTAAGGCATATGAGTGGCTAGTGAAGAATCCTCCAAATCAGTGGTCAAGAGCTCACTTTAGTTTAACACCTAAATGTGATATCTTGACCAATAACATGTGTGAGAGCTTCAATTCACTTATTCTGTCTGCTAGAGAAAAAAGCATCACAGGGCTGCTTGATATAGTGAGAAACATCATGATGGCAAGGATGCATACCAACAGGGAACAAGCCAAGAAATGGGATGGTGCTATTTGTCCTATGATAAAAATGATTTTGGATGGGAACATGAAGAAGGCAGGAGAACTCATCCCTATGAGGTCTGATTAGTGGAATTTTCAAATCATGGGGCCATTTGAACAACATACTGTTGATGTTCTTGGAAGATCTTGTCCTTGTAGGAAGTGGGAATTGACTGGACTTCCATGTAAGCATGTTATTTCTACCATTTGGTGTAGAAAAGAAGAATCGGGGTGGTATGTTCACCAGTTGTACTCTATTGAAACATATAGAAAGGCATATGAACTGCCAATATTAGTGATAAATGTTCCTGATTTGTGGCCTAAGGTTGATCTTCCACAACCTATCCCTCCTGCAATTGTGAAGAGAGCTGGAAGGCCTAAGAAGGTAAGGAGGAGATATCCAACTAAGCCACCAAGTGCATTGCCTCATAATCCCATAAGTTTGAAAAAGCATCAGAGGAGTGTGACCTGCAGAGTTTGTGGACAACTTGGTCACAATGCTAGAAAGCATAAAAAGGCTGACCAAAATGAAGAACAAGAGGAGGTCCCACTGAGTGAATCTCAGCCTCCACCAGCTAGTGACCATGTTTTATCAACAGTCCCTTGCACCAACACCTCCAAACAACAACAATGCTGCTGAAGCTAGCAAAAATAGGGTAATTTGTCATTTTTTTGGTTGGATTGTACCTCATTTACTATGTCTAATACTCCGTGTTTTGATTTAAACTTGTTATATATTTACATACTTACTCTATATATGTTTTATAGTCTCAAGAAAAGAGCAGAACAACTAGGAAGAGAAAAAGAGCTGAGTTGAATGGAATGGGAATGAGAATCAAGGACAGAATGTCAATGTAAGTTATTGTGTTATTATCATTATATTAGGTTATAGAACTCTGAAATTTAGTTTAGTTGGATTTGAATTTGAGTTCTTTGTGTAAATGATTCCTTAACAGTGTCATTATATTGTGTTATTATCATTATATTTGTTCCAATTTGTTTATACAAATGCAGGTTACACAATCTGAGGGAGTCACTTATCCAGTTGTGGTGAAAGGGGGTGTGAATTACATAACTGATGTCCAACATCAGAGCTGCCTTGAGGACAAAGAATAGGAAAACTCCTGGTAAGGACAAGGCTGCAAACAAATGACTGTGGATTTGTGTTGGTTTGATTGTGTTGTTTGACTTTGGATTTATTTTGGTTTGATTGTGTTGTAATGGGATAATGAGTTCTTTGGTGATTTTGGGATTATGGTTTGACTGTGGATGTCTGTTTATGATGAACAAGGCTTGTGGATTGTGTTCTTTTGGTGATTGTGGTTTGAACAAGTTGTGTATTGCTTTATTTTGGTGATTGTGGTTTAAACACTGTTGTGTATTGTGTTCTTTTGGTGATTGATTTGGAGATGGATTTATGAGGATTGTGGTTTGAACAATGTTTATGATTTTGTTTTGGTGATTTTGGTGAACAGGACTGTGGATTGTTATTCATTTGCATTTAGGATACTAGATCAATTGAATGGAAAATGATGATTTCATTGACTTGAAAAATGATAGTTACATATGTTGCATATACTAATTTTTGCTATTTAGTACATAGAACACAACTACTACAACTAGAACAAAGACTCCTAGTTTTACAATGAAATTTTTCTTTTCATTTTTCAATGCATCTAGTTGTTTTTTCATAGTCATTCTCTTGCTATTGGCTTTCCTCAATTCAGCTTGCAGTTTGTTTTCTCTTATCATGAAATCATTGAGCTCATCCTCAAGGTTGTTCAACTTTGAAAGCAGTCCGGGTATTATTTGTTTGGAACGAGCACACATTTTCGGATCTAGCCACTTGTAAAATCCACAGAATTCTCTTGTCTGCAAGAGGAAAAAACACAATCATAAATTTTGTTATAAATATAATAATTAAAAAATCAAAATAATACCCCATAATTTGGGCATGCCCAATATCTCTATCCGGGATTTTTTTTTTGTCCAAATGTCTTCAATGGCAGCTTTTCCTGCAGAATTTAACATTATAATTCTTCTGAACTCACTTCGGGGACATCATCAAACCTCAACTATGTGAAGTACATGGTGACCGTAAATATTATAACAAAACACCATGTCATGTAGGAATAATTACCTAACCAAGACAGTTATTGGTCCGTATCAATAAACCTCACCTTGCTGAGGTTGTCCTCCGATACAATCTTGGCAACCTCGACGCCTCCTCTCCCTACGATATCTCGTATTATGTGGTATTTGCACTCTATGTGTTTACTGGCCTTGTGGGCTCGTGGTTCCCTCGAGTTCGCTATTGCACCACTATTATCACAATAAATTGTGAGCCTATGGTAAACTCGAAATCACTTCTAAGTCCACTAAAAAGTTTCTGAGCCATACTGCCTCTTTCTCTGCTTCACAAGCTGCGACAAACTCGGCTTCCATGGTGGAGTCTGCCACGCATTTAGGCTTGGCAGTCCTCCATGAAAGGGCTCCACCTCCCAGTTTAAACACATAACTTGAGGTAGATTTACTTTCATCCCGGTCTGACTGGAAGCCGGAATCATTGTCAGTGACGGATCTAGTATTTTTACTCAGGGGGGCCCTTTTTAAATGTTAAATAACGAGCTTGCAGTTTATGTCGAAACGCTCATTTCATATAAAAATGTGTTTACTTATAAATATAAATATCGATATGTGTACTATAAAGTTCTAAAAAACTTATAATCCGTATCAGCCTCAAACTTTTTAAGAAAAATAACGAAAGAAAAAAGAAATTTCATGTATTTATAATTTAAGTTCAACATCTATAATTTATGGAGTAAGTTTTTTGGTTGAAAATTTGATTTACATTGAACTTTTACATCACATTACACAACATTTGTGTTGATGAGAGCTTATCAAATAACCATTTTTAAAAGATATAAATAAATAAAGTTAAAAATATGTGATTACATAAAAAAAAAAAATCAACATTCAAAAATCTAAAAATCCTATTAAATACTAGATTTAATAAATCACTAAATCAATTACAACTAAGAGGCTGAAAGAATAAATGATTATAAATATTTTCAAAAACTTATCTATAAATGTAAAATATTAGAATTGTTAGTATATTTTTCAATAAATATATAATATTATTAATTTAATCAATATAGCATAGTAACTAAGTATTAATTATTTATACATTGTAAATATTTTTTCCAATTTTATCCATATTTTGTAATGTTTTATTTATATTTATATATATATATATATATATATAATGATTTTTTTTAAAAAAATTAGGAGAATGTGGATCCGTCTTCGATGGTCGTAACTCAGCGATAGCAAGCTACCTGCACAGTAAACTAACACGTACTCCTTAGTCCTTCTCAGGTACTTGAGTATATATTTCATCGCAGACCAATGTTTTCAACATGTATCTGTTTGGACAAATTTTTTTGCACGAGCAGGTACCTGTTAGCTTTACTAGCTGATATTTGTTGAATGATAGCATAAGCCTTAGGGCAGTGTGCAAGAGTGAGGGCAGTCAATGGAAAGTTTATGTTGCTCCAATGCTACATGGCAATAGTTGGAAAGTTAAGGTTTTCAATGATCAACATAGTAATTTTGCTTAGAGTTTTAATAATTCTTCTATAAAGTCATCTTGGGTGGAGAAACATTTTATGAAAGAAATCCAAAAGAATCCTAAGATACAAATTACATGCTTTAGGGAACATGTGTATTCTAAATTGAAGATAAACATATCTAAGCATTAGGCTTATAGGGCAAGAATTGCTGCAACACAGCTTCTTGAGGTGACGTGAAAGAACAATATAGTAGATTGAGGGATTATTGTGCTAAGTTACTGAGGGCTAGTCCTGGGTCAACTGTATTGAGGGATTATTGTGCTGAGTTATTGAGTGCTAATCCTGGGTTAACTATGATCTTAAAATTAACTGAGAATGAGGTGTAGTCAATAAACTTAAGAGGTTTTATGTTTGTTTTAAAGCTTATAAGGAGGGTTTTAAATTTGTATAATGGTTGTTGGGATTGATGGGTGTTTTTCGAAAGGGTGCTACGGGGGTAAGCTTTTGGATGCATGTGGGATTGATCCCAACAACATCATGTTTCCAATAGCTTGGACATTTGTTGAAGCTGAAAAGATAGATTATTGGCTTTGATTTTTGTCTCTGTTGGGTGATGATATTAGCATAAATCATCAATATCTATGGACCTTCATGAGTAATAAACAGAAGGGACTAATACTAGTTTTTGAGAGTATGTACCCAACGGCAGAAAATAGATTTTGTGTTCAACACGTTCACAAAATGCAGTACAAATGACCCGGTTGTTTATTTCATAGAGATATTCATGAACATTCAGTATAAATGCCTCAAAGATCATGCAATCATGAAATTTTTAACTATGTTTGGCCAGAATATTTCAAAGTATTTGATAAAGTAGACATTTTGCCAAAAGAATTAAGAAAATTTTTGCTATTGATGTAGGCTCCAACGAGTATGAAGATTTCTTACGAGAACGCCAAAACCAAAATGATATACAATCACTCTTTAATCATCTAACATTACTAAATAAAAGAACAAATGCATCTAGACTATACTTTATGTCCTTATTTAGTGTCCTTATTTAGTTATTTTGTGTTTTTTCATTAGGGACTCATTTTTCATATATTTTTGTTGAAGTTGTAATATGTTATTTTATTTTTTTATATTATGACATCATTATGTTATTTTTGTAAAAATAAAAAATGCACTACAAGCTCATTTATTCTACATTTTACTTCGTTCATGCAATGATATGTTTAATAAATTAATTAATTTATTTACTAAACTTAATCGGTCAAAGAAATTCACAACCACGTGCATCGCACGTACACTTTATTAGTAAAATAAAATAAAAAATATTAAAAAATAAATCTTAACCACACATCTAAACCGTACTCAATGGCAAAAATTTTATCTTTCACACTTTTTTTTAAATCCTGAGCTACACTAGCTTCACGAGCAACCTTATTAATTAATCAAAAACTATAATATATTATTAGTTTTTTCGGGAATAATTCTTCATTTGACATCGAATTTCAAAAATGTTGAATTGATCAAATATGCGAACTAACAAATTGGCATCTCATATGAAATTTCTAGCTCTACTACTTAATTAATAAGATATATAGCAGTATCAAATGATTGAATTTTCGGATACCATACTTAATAATTACAAAAGCTAACTGCTTGAGTTATTTTTTTAAACAGCATGCATTTATATTCGTGCTTAATCCAAGAAATGCAATAAGTCCACATGAAAAAGAGTAGTAGCATTTGTTTTCCATAGGTGTTGTAGTGTTGTTAGTGGAAACACACTCACCCTAGTACGAATCTTGGCCTCCCTATAAAGTATATTTGAGCTTTGTTTTTTTCTACCCCATTGTTATTTCAAATCTTGTTCCTTTTCAAGATTCATTTTTTATTTTTATTAATTTATAAAGTATTCTTTTATTTATTTCTACCTTTCCTGTTGCTTTCTCATGAAAGGGCCTCTTCTACCTAAAAATTATACCAATCTATTATTATATAATACGGGGATGAAAAATTAATTGAACAATCCGAAAAAAAACATTTCGTTTTCCTGCTTAAAAATCATGTTTTTCCCACTTAAACACTTTTTTTTCGAATTTTAAAAAAATTGAATGAGTCAATATTTATCTAACCAACAGATTCTCAAATATTGCTATTGTTATAAATCAAAGTAAATCTTCAACAGATTCTCAAATATCACGCAACTGATCACTTTGTTTGATGTGAATGTAAACCTTGATTGCGAAAATCAATTAATTAAAAGTATAGAATTTGTTTGATTAGAAAATATTGTGTTTATATTTTGGTTGAGATAAGATAATGTGTGTATTTTGAAAATAAATATCCTAAATTTATGGGAACAGACCATTAGGGTAAGTATATTTTTAGACACGCAAAACTTAATAAAATCAACATTAAAATATATATTGATTATTGCAATGCTTATAAATGCAATGTGCACCAACAAAGCAACACTAGAATTATGGCCGCATACATCAATATGCACAACGATATGTATTAATCATGGGGTTTGATTACGCAAGTTTAGCATGTTCAAGAGACCAATAACGAAGCTTTATCAATTTGCAGTCACTGCCGTATGGATTTACCAGCGGTCTGATAAAATAAGTTAGCGTGTCCAGATGACATTCGTGTTGTACGAATGTTTGAAAAAAAAATTGATTTATTCTACAAAAACATGTTGAAAATTGTATTTAAGGACAATGAAGCATATCATTCAATTTGTTCAGTATTGATACTGTAATATCCCATTCAGTAATTAATAAAAG